TCCACAGCAAACTATCAATGCAAAGATCTATAGCCAGCAACTGGATTGTCTAAATCAAGCCCTTCATCAGAAACACTCTTCACCCAGACACGAAAATTTTATTTGGGGTCAATCTGGGTGGAAAATCGTGAAGAGCACATTCCAATGGGAGAGACCACAGGTTGGACAGTGACTCGAAACCACAACAGATAATAAGTTCGATAGCCCTTAAGAACTAAATATGGGTAAATTAAGGGATGTACCCAAAGGTGAAGAGTGGTTAGGGTGTGATAAACCATACATAGCAGGGATATTCCAAACACATGTGAGGACTTATGGTGATTGGTTCAGCTCTAAATAAAAAAATTCATCTGTTTGGAATTGACTTCCATGTGGGGTAGGATGAGGGATCCCAATTGAAGGAATGAACTGCATTTATGCCAGCACACCACACATGTGAGTACATCATGATGATTATTAAGCTCTATATCAAAATCTCAACTTCTGGGAACCAACATCCTTGCGGAAGTAGAATCCCAATTGCACGACATGTGAAGACATATGGAGATTAGTTCAGCTCTAAATACAAAACTCAACTGCTGGGAACCAACATCCATGCAGGAGTAGGAGGATGGATCCCAATCATCATAATATGAGTGTGGGTAATAGGGTGATTGGTTCAGCTCTAAATTCCAAAACTCAACTACCGGGAACAGATTATCATGTGGGGGGTAGGATGAGGGATTCTAATCATTACGAAGGCTGACTCCAAAGCTACAACATTCCCTTGGATAAGCCCGTGCAGAGATGAAGCATCCTTTCAGAGGACATCTTGTCAACTACACCAGCAGAACACCACCACCCTACTCTCAACTGAATGGCATCTTTATTGTTAGTATTGTATATATATATCTCTCATTTAGGAGGATACTTCCATGGTCCACCATCCCAGCTGCTTGGACCTGGAAAGTGGTAAGGACTCTCTTACTCCACTGGAAAAATGGGGAGAGAAAAATGTGGTGGAGAGTCCAGAGAAACATTCACACCAAAGACAGTGCAATGGATGACCACAAAGCCCTGCAAAAGGTTCCATTAGTTGTGTAGAGTACACTGAAGAGTTCTCATATGAGCACAACCCATGGGCATAAGGGCTGCCAAAGAAGAGCACATCCCCAAAAGAGATAGGACCTTACAAACAGTAATAAAGGAAGCAGTAAAGGCAGTGAGGATTGCTGCCTCCATTGAACGGAGACAAAGAGGAGAAGGTTGGGCCTGACTGAGATGAGTGTTGAACAAAACACTCAATTGGATAAGATATTGGGTAGGCACAATGAAGGACTTCTTCAACTTGATTAACCAACTGACCTGAGCCACCTCCAAAGAAGCAGATGAGTGTGTCAGGTAGACTCCAGTTCGAAATGAGCCAACAAAAACCAGTCATCTATGTAATGGTGAGAGCTCAACCATCGAGCATGCACAAGTCCAGTAAAAGTCTTGACCAAACGACAAAAGACATACTGTGTCATAGTAACCCCAAAAGGGAGAGTGCAAAATTGATAAACCATCCCATGATGAACAAACTGAAGGTAGTGTCTCGATTGTGGAAACCTAGGAATATGGAGATAAGCAATTGAGATGTCAACCTTGGTCATCCATAAACTTGGTGAAAAAACCCACCTGAGGGTTATAAATGACTCCATGGTAAAAATGAGGTAGCACCAAGAAGTGACTGAGGCATGACAGATTGATCACAGGCCACCAGTCTCCAGTTGTAAGTCGGGGGACATACAGCTGTGCCACTGGAGGGCATCATGGTATTATATAATTTTCTTCCCAGTTATGGAAGTTAGGAATTTCTTCTGTGCTTTTCTTTCTTTACCAACACAATTGTGTTTGGTTTCATTTTGCAGTATGAATTCCTGATTGTCCTGTTTGTTTGTCCCAAGCAAAATTTTCTTGCCTTCATATTACTCTCACGTCTATCCTACAGTACTTGTCTGCCATACACCTCCTCTCCAAGGTGATCCACCAAGATCCTGAAGGTTTTGGGGGGGGGGGGGGGATACATTTGCCCTAATTACATTCTTGTTGGCACATTTGTCAACCTGTCTCTTTCTTTACACACATGGTTTCTCTGTTGTTGGGATCTTTTTGGGAAGGAAATGGTATTGTTCCAAAGCTGTTTGCCATCTCTTTATCTTGGGGACTTAAGCCTGGCCCCTTTTCTCTAGTTGAGTGAATTTGGAGATATTCTAGTAACTTTGTAATTCTGAGTGGAATCTGAGAGACACAGTTGACTCTTCCTTCGTTGGTTGATTGTTTGTCTTGTATGGAGACTCGGGCCATCCTCTATTTCTGTTTTCCTTACCTGTTCCTTCCACTAGGGATCTTCTTCTCTGTTTTACTTGACAGCGAGTGTTACACACCAACAAATTAATACTATGTAAAATATGTAAAAAACTTGAAAAATAATCAATACGAAATTGCAAAATTCAAAGCAAGCACTCAATAAAATGTCCGAACATGAGCACTGCCAAACATGAAGCGAGAGTTAGGTAGAACAGTATAAAGGGAGTCACATGAGTGTGGGGCTCATCTATTGGTGGATGTTTGTCGCATGATAATTTGCATGCAAGAGTCAATTAAACCATGAGAATCAAGGGGTACATGGGAGTGAAAGGCTTGTGGCATGCAAAAGAAAATTTGCAAACAAAGAGTAACACTGAACAAGAATAGCTATATATATATAAGCAGAAGTAAGATAACTTGTCAGAAATATCAATTTCATTACAGACTGTGACAGAAAATAAAAATTTATAAACATACTAGATTTATGTGTATAAACAAAACACATGCTTAGCCTGCTGTTCAGAGCTGTTATAAACACAGATTTGCTTACAACTTTCATTACTATTGCTTTTTTCTCACTTGTATAATCATAATTCTTTGATTAGTTCTAATTCTAATTTGTAGAATGATGATCCTTATGAATTTTCTCACTTGTGGATTAACTAAATGTATGACAAAAGATACAAGTAGGGTATAAGTGTTCTAATACTATTTTATAAAAACTACCTATGATACCAAAAACAGACAGAAGTGTACTCTCATACCACAACTTTATATTTACTTTATTCAACCAAAAGTATTAAAACATTATGTAGTCACACCTGAATAACTAATTTCCTTAATTACATAGCACCAAAAATAGTTGAAAACAAAACTTTTTTTTATTAAAAGTAATATTATCTACAACTATAATTAAATGTCTTGTAAATTTGTACATGTGCATATAAACTATAGTTGCAATTGAGAAACTTATATTTCACCCTTCAATAACTACAAAAGAATATACCATTGTTCTGTGGGGTATATTTAGGTAAATTTATCAAAATTTCATTGGAGGTGTTCTCCATGTACTTGGTTGACATCCCTGTAAACAGAATGTGAAAGGTCATAAACTTGCACTAATCTTCTACTTTACATAAAAGTTACACAGCACTAAGGTCATTCGGTA